CGGGAATAGGTGTTAGAAGAGCGGAGGAGATGGTTGTTAGAGCGAGAAGTGGAACCCAAAACCGTGAACGTTTCTCTTCGTGACCGTTCCAGCTGGAAGTGAGTGGGTCGGAAACAGTGAAGTTGGAAGACGTGGAGCACGTGATATCTTCCATACAGTGCTTCACTGACCCGAAATGTGCCCGGGATCCGGACGTGGTACAATGCTGGTAACGGAGATAGTTTAGACATTCCCAGAGATGAAAGCTTATCATTGAACTGCTTAATATTATCACTCTTGAAACTGCACTCATTTGGTCACATCTCTAATTTAAAGGAGAAGTGAGTTGGTAGATGGTTGCGCCTTAGGTCAACCGCTTCCTAAAGGTTGTTTGATTAACGGCGGATGTGTTAAGCAAACATAATGTCCATGGGAATGGGGATCGAGATTGTTTTGGTACAGGGACTTTCTCCAGAACAGGTTAGGTAGACTGTTTCGTCTGGTTATAATAGATCGTGCTGCAACACATGCCGGTACCGGGGTGCAGCCAGTCACAGCTGTCTCCAAGGTCACTTGCACCCGCATATTCCGCTCCTTCCAATTTTAACAGTGACAGGAGATAATGTCGTGATGCTGTCTGGACATTCTGTTGCGACACCGAGTACTCATGAAAATCCGCGTCGCATCAACCGGGAAACAACATCCACAGATCCTCCGATAGCAATCGAATTGTTCCACTACAGCAAACCGTTCCCAATTAATGTGTGTCGCAAGGATCCGATAGTGGGCTTATTTATCGATAAGAACTAATGCTGTGCCTAAGAAAAGTGTACCTTCGGGACACCACTTAGCACACGGAGTCGGAGCTCACGTGGACTAATCGATCAACGGAACGAACGAGATAAGTAAAGGAGCAAAGACCAAGCGAACATCGTAAACAAATGACGGCGAGTGAATAATGCGGTCGCAGTGAGACAAGCAAGGAGGAAATGACCTTGCAGGGAGCTGTTGGATGAGAGTGAATGGGAAGAGAGAGGGAAGAGAGAAAGGGAGAGAGAGGGAAGGCATGCACTGACATGTTGTGAGGCCCGCGAAGTGCTCCTCTCGATCACTTCCGGGCCTATTATGCAGCGACCTGCGAATATGACGGACAGTCAATTGGTGAAAATAAAAGAACAGCAAAAGAAGTCCATTACAAATGCCAGACGTACGAACGAACGAGTAGACAGAGAGCAATGTGAAGCAAAAGATAGACACGTGAATGACGGTAGCAAACAGATGGATAAAAATGAGGAGAGGGAGAATCACGTGGAGGTGAGAGAGTGTCAGAGAGTGGGATCGACGAGATTTATGGAAGCAGGGGAGAGCGACAGGTCTGCAAAGAGTATAAATGTCTGGCGATGAGGTGCACTTGGCGGTAGGCCAATACGGGGATGGCTGGCCGTATAAGCAGACGGACCTTCCCGTTGTATTTCGTGTGGGCGTGTGGTGACTTCACTTGCGATGGCAGTACGTGGATTTCTGTGCAGTACGTGAGGAAGTACCACTCACGCAGGAGTCTATTCTTTCTCGTCTCTCAAAATGCACTCCGTGTGGCAAAGGATTAGTGAAGGAAGTGAGTGGAGCAGAGAGTATGCTAAGAGCAGTGTCTTTGTACTCGGAGATCATCGTGATTCGAAGTATGGTTTAGGAATAGCGGAAAGTTTCAGGTTATGATGAGACTGCACAGATTGTTGTCTGATGTACGAGAGAAGTTTTCAGAAAGATGGTGAAGGAGTGCTGAAGCCACCATCTCAAAGAACTCGTCAAAATTACCGCCATATTCTGAATCACGGGTTAAAGCCCGATTTGTCACCATTTTCAAAATCGAAATTGACAACCATAGTTTGTACGTATGTCGTACCCTCAGTTGCTGTTGTGCAACTTGAAAGGTTCCATATATTCTTGAGATTCTCTTGGAGCTCATGCGAAGTGAAGCCAAATTTAAGGGGAATGCCTTCAGATTGGACATGCTTGTGGATCAGAAAACTGTACTCGTATTTTTATCGAAGCACATTTCGGTACAGCGCAACTGTCCTCTGTTTTCTTTCTCAACAGTTATCGATGAATGCATAGCGTGTTCTGGACAAGTATCGCTCAAAATATTTCTTATTTCATGGAGATCAACATTGGGGTAGTATTTAGAATTTCAAATTTGATGCTATGAAAGTTGGATGACCCAGGACAGCTTTAACATTCTTCTCTTCCGGAACTTTTGGCTGCTTTGTGCCTTTTGCTTCCCTGAAGATTCATGTCCTCAGTCTTTCTCGTGTTCACTTTACGGTACGGTCAGGACCTTACCGATCGTATTGCTTTTGGTCTCTCTCTTTCATTGTTCTGCAATCTCTACTGTTAACATCATCTTTATTTTCTCATCTTCCAAAAGTAAACTCTCGTTACATTTTACGGTAACGAAGCAATTTGCAAAGAGCGTTAATATCTTTGCTTGAAAAACATATCATTCGATTTAAAAACGATATCTCTTCCTTACATTTGTTTCTCTTCGTAATCACTACAAAACTCAGCTTACTTCCGGAACGAGAGTAGCATTATGGACTGTGTATATTCCGGACACGTATGCCAAATTAGTTACCAAAAAACACAATCCAAACACGGCATACAGCAGCACACCGATTGTGATAGTGTAAGGGCCTCCTCGGCTTCCATAGATAGTAACTGAAAAATGTCTCCGTTTTGAATTGAAATGCTTTTTGAAGTGAGTTGAGCATTGGATATTCTGGTCCCATCACGCAGTACTGAAGACAGGTGATTAGGGAAGCTGAATTGAAAAACCTGTGAATGCACGGTGCTCCTTCTTCTTTTCCTGAACAGATCGTTTCCAGATTCGTCCTTTTTTACGGCAAACCAAATCGACCCTCGCTAATCCATAAGCAGTTCTGCTAGCGTTATCAAAGTACATGTCATCTGGACACCTGCTGCGCTGCAATATTCCCTAGGGCCAATGAAGCTCTGGGCTAATAATGCCGGAAAAAC